CTCTCTCTCTCTCTCTCTCTCTCTCTCTCTCTCTCTCTCACACACACACACACACACACACACACACACACACACACACAAACGAAAAAAAAAAAAGTGCCAATGTATATTTCCATTTTCTCGGCCAAGATTCATTCCGATTTTGCTCAGCGGTAGCCGTTCTCTTTCCATTGGCTGAGAGAAATCGGAATGAATCTTGGCCGAGAAAATGGAAATATACACTGCCACTTTTTTTTTTTTGGTTTGTGTGTGTGTGTGTGTGAGGGAGAGAGAGAGAGACAGGCAGCTGGAGTAGGTGGGCGAGCCGGCAGCAGAGAGAGCGCGAGCCGAAGCGGGAGTGGGCGGCCACCAGAGAGAGAGAGAGAGAGATTGGAAAGATACAGAGAATGTTAGCATGTCCAAAAAAAAAAGGTGCGAATGTATCTCACACAGACAATGGAGCAGATGCATTCGCATTTTGGTGGGCCCAGCAGCAGACACACACACAGAGAGAGAGAGAGAGAGAGAGAGAGAGAGAGAGAGAGAGAGAGAGAGAGAGAGAATGGGGAGGGTGTTCACTGGGCGCGGTGGGTGGCTTTTCCTGTACTGACAAAGTGGGATCGTTTTCCAGCCCGAAGCCAAAAACAAAAAAGGCGGGAGGGCCTGCTAGGCCAGGCCACCTCCCTTTTTTGCCAATTATGAACAGGTAGGCCATGGAAAGCACATTTTACTGCTTTTCTTGCTGTTTCGAACTGTTCACGGCCCAATCTTGCAGTGGACTGTTATTTTCTGCGAATTCTGAACTGTGCAGAGGTCACAGGTGCAGTTTTTTAAACTTTTTATTTTGCGTGGCCTGCCTCATGCCCTTTCCTGCCAGATGTATGCCATGCCGTCTCCACACGGACAACGGACGCTGGACCACGGACACCCCCGCCCGCACCCGCGTATTTTCGTATGAAAATGGCCGCGTATTTTCGTATGAAAATGGCCGCGGGCAGGCCACAAGGAAACGTCGTCCCCAAGGATGTGTGGAAAGACGCAGCAAAAATCCCTTATGAGCCACAAGGAAAATTCCTTCTGGCTCAAGGAACTCGTAAGGAGTGTCTAACGACGCCCATTGACTCGTTGTTAAGCCACCAGTACTTCCTAATGTCATGCCCGTTAACAAGTCACGATTTTAGGAAGCGTACGGGCCACTACAGGAGCGCCCAAATTCATCCGACTAGAAATGTTTCTACTCTATTATGTTCCGCGGCCGATAGCTGGGCCAAGTACTGGTGGTTTAACAACCTTTCTCATGACCTGATTCCAAAGAATGCGGGAAAACTTTTGAAGAAGCTTAAGTAAGTTATGTTTATTCTTTTGGCCAAACTCATGACCATCCAGTGTCCTCACTGCAATGCCTTGAACATGGGGGGCTCGTTATGGCCAACAGAGCTCATTCAGGTCTGAACACCCAGTGCAGTCTTTTCAGTACCTTCACTTTCCAATTGCCGTGCAGAACGCCTATCTATACAGTGCAGGTGGCACATTTAGAAACCACATGGTCAGCATTCTAATAAGAGCATATGCTGGCCAGGAAATTGTCAATCTGATTTTAGTATCGGAATTAAAAAAAGCCATGATCTTTGTTGATGACCTTCATCAGCGTGATCTTCATGAAGCTCCGCCAGTACCTTTCTCATACATAGGCCGCAGGCACTGCGTGCCAAGCGTGGCTGATGTATCTGGTCGGCGCTGGAGGCCAAATCAGGCCTTCGGGTTAGCGTGGAAACGTACTGACAGTTCAAGTGGAAGGAAACTATGGCACGAAGCTCAGCGGTATACCTTCGCTTACGGCTTCATTGATGACGTTCTTTCATGGGGCAATTACCACCTGCGCCAGAGAACCATGGCCTGAAGTAGAAGGAAACTAACGCACAAAGCTCAGCGGTATGCCTTCATTCACCGCCTCATTGATGACGTTCTTTAATGCGGGCAATTACCACCAGGTCCTGTGCTAGAGAACCATGGCCTTAAGTAGAAGGAAACTACCCCATCAGATGGTTTCTGGACCCGTTAACTGCCATTTCATCAAAATTGACATTTTTTATTTTTTGAACGAAATTGAGACTGAGTTTTTGGCCAAAAACTCGTCCAAATTTGCTGCTCCTGAGGGTCCGGCGTTCTTAAAACGCTGGACCCCCTGGATGTATATGGACTTAGCAGGAGACCAAAAAAATAGGTTTCAATTTCGTTCAAAAAAATATAAAAATGTCCATTTTGACGAAATGGCAGTTCGTTGGGGAATATACCTACAGCTCTGCTTTGGTGGCTCCCT